GCTGGATCTTGGCTTCCCTTGCCTTGAAAGTTCGACCAGAGGTGATGGCGCTCTCAGTCTGGAACAAAGGTTCAGGAATCAGTTGGCATAGGCCAAACTGCCTCGAAACGAAGTTTGGTTGGTAGGCAAAGAGAAGAATTTGGTTCTTAGCTGGGGTTATCCTTGAAGAGATAAGTCTAGGAAGCAAGAAAGCTCTCCACACATCTTGGATTTCCTTACTCTTGATGGCTTCTGAGAGAGCCATGGTGAACCAAGAAGGTCCATGCGCCCTCGAAGCAAAGGGCGCCATGCTCTCTTCGAACTTATGTCTTTTTGAGAGTATCAAGATGTACTTCGAAAATTGAACCTTGAAGTCGTCCTTGTCATCATTAGGGGTTAATCTGCGAAGCCTAGTGCCTTCGACTATCCTATCACTTATTTCTGAATCTTGTTCATCTATGGTGTTGGCGGTTGATAAAGAAGGTTCGAACATGGCGTTGAGCCATAATTGAAGTAACCAAAATGGGCCAGCTAAAAGAATGTTTTTGGAAGTGTGGGATTTGAGGCTCGAAACAGCTGACCTCAGGCTCTCATAGAGGTCAACTAAGAGTAATTCACTTAGGCACACTTTGCGATTTTCATGTAAATCCCTAGCTAAAGGAATGAACCTACTAGCTACCTGCAGGGATCTACTGCAGAAAACGTACCTAGACAGCCACAGGGTTAAGAAAGCAATGTGCTCTGTGTCAGACACATTATCCCCTTCAGCATGATAATGGCCAATAAATTTGGAGAAGCTGGCTAACTTGACTTCGAAGTCAATTATGCTTGAGTGCTCTTCATTGTCAGGAACATAAGTTTCCCCCACTGGCGACAGCCCAGTAATGGCTGCTATATCAAAGAAGGTTGGGGTGATCATTCCACCTGGAAGATGGAAAGTGTTGTAGGTACTATCCCAGAAATAGAGGGACGCAAATAGCAGAGGATAACTATAGGTGAATCCAGGTTTCGATAGCTTAATAAGGTTATAAATGCCTAGTTCTTCCCATTGCTGGGATTTTTTGGCTTCTACTTTCGTGAACCAGTTTTGATAAGCAACATCAGCAGTAGGGCAAGATCGGAATGGTTTAAAATTGCTTTTTACATAATCCAAGATAAATGGGTCCTTAGGATAAACAGTTGAGGTTTCTGTGGTATTCGGATTAAGAAATTCTACTGCCCTAGGGGCATCCATTTTGTTGAATAAAGGTTTGAAGTTATAACACACGGGAAAAATGGTCCTGGTGTCCTTTAGTATTTCAAAAACTGTAAGAGGGCCATTTAAGGCTAACCTCTTACCAGCAACATGGGTAGGGATGAGTACCTGTGATGCGTACAGCATTTCTTTTTCTTTGGAAATCATTTGAGGAGCAAGAGCAGATTGGCCTTGAATGGTGACGATTTTACTCTCCATAGTTGCTCCTGTAGTTTTTCCTTTCTTCTTGGAGACTTTCTTGAGTTGGGATGATGTGGAAGAAGACATTTTTGTTGTTTGAGAGCTTAGATTGTTTATGAGAGAAGAAGAGTAAAATTCCAGAGTTTGAAAGGTTTAGAGTGTAAAGAAGGAAAAAGGAAGGTTAAATTGACGTTTTATAATAAGAAGATTAAGCGTCCACCGAGTGAAAGTATGATACGTGGAGATCATGGATTGGTGTGATGAAGAGGTGGCGAGAAGTTGATATAGGTAATAGGCGTGATTTTAAAAACAATCATTATTTATAACTGCACCATGCTGTGAAGTGACTTTGGGCGGTTAAGGTACCCAAAGGGTGCTATGATTGATGTGACTAGGGTCAAACGCATTAAATGCTATGATGATTCGAAAATCCTATCAAAATCTTGTATAAATGTTTAAAATAGGCATTTCTCAGAGAGATCGAAATACATATTTTAAAGGGGCAATTTGTTGGCTGAAGATTTTGATAGTGTTATTTAGAATTCAAAAAGAGCTAGAAGTTCTGATCGAAATGGAATTAAAACACCACGCTTCGAAATTGCAGAAGCAGTGTTTCGAATGAGTGTGTCAAAGCTTGAAGCTTCGAACGGTGATCATGGGAGCGTATCCAAAGGGGTCTCGAAACAGCAGCGAAGCTAGGTCTGAGAAGAGCGTTCGAAACAGAGAAACACCAAAGCATTTAAAATTTAAATGAAAGCGGGACTTTCAAAGTTTGAAAGTTATGTGTTGGAGCATTTGGGGACACGTGGAAAGATGAAAGAAGCATTGTCTTGCATGTTCGAAACGTGGCATGATCTTGTAGCGAGACCGTTAGGGTCGAATTAGTATAAATAGAAGTCTTAGTGTTAGGATTTCAGGGTGTCATATCTGTTATACAAAATACTCAATAACATTCAAACTACCACATGGCAAGGGAAACGAATGCAAGAGAGATGTATGTATGATAGCACCATGTATTTCTAATTTAATAAAAGCCTTTTTACTATTTCCAGCACTTTCCTTCTTTTTCTTTCTGTCGAATAACATTTGCAAGTTTCTTTATCTACTGTCTTTTCATTTCAAAGTCTTTTCTTCAAAGTTTTACATTTTACTGCTTTCTTTATATTTCGAGCACTCTATATTTCAGAGAACTTTTACGCTCTCAATACCTTTACTTTCAAGTATTATTCTTCAAACATGTACTTTCACTTAAAGTCATTTCTAGATTTCTTGCATTAAACGCTTTCTTCACATTTTAAACTTCCACATTCCAGAAACCTTTTATGCTAAATGTTTTATGGGTCGAAACCAGTTACTTCATTTTCCATACAGTTTTATATGTCTTTTCAATCAGCATTACAATTAGCAATTATTCGTATAACTTAGTTTTCACATACATTTTGACCACATTCTTAAACTCTTAGAGAGAGGGATCGAAATAAACCAAACATTTGTACAATAGCACCCATGAATAATTGTTCGATTGTGAGAGTAACCTTAATATCCAAGGAGTCCTAGGATCAATCTAGTCGATCCTGTGAGTTACCAAAGAGATTGAGTAGCGTTAATAAAGATTATTCGATAGTTTGGAAGACTAGCGGTTGTTTACCAGAAATCACTGGAAACAATACCACACTGTGATATGGTGGGAGAACTGACTTGAGGGTTTGTGTTTTGTATTCGCAAATGTTGCGGTTTAGCAAGAGTCGCCACCGGCTTTTCTTTTATCTAAAAAGGAAAGGTGAAAAAGCACAGGAAAGACCTTTAGAGATGTTTTCTTGAGTTCGGGAGGTAGATTATGAAAAGGAAAGGTATTAGCACCCTTTTCATTCATGGTTTTCCATGGGCTCTTAGTTACTTGCTAGATCACTTGCTTTTTGAAAAATGTGCTTTATGTGATTTTTGAGAGTATTTTGAAAAGGCGTCATCGTTTAGGCAAACTTTGCAATGATTCTCGTTCGTAAGAATGTATACAAAGTGTTGAGCTTTTGAAAATATTTCAATGTTTTAGAAAATGGTTTTGAAGTTGTTTTGGAAGTGTATGTGATTGTTTTTTAAAATAGTAAGGATGTTTATTTTGAAATTGAGCAAGTAACTAAAAGTAATCTACCTACTCAAAAGGTCTTAGATATGCTTTTCCTCCTCCTTTAGATGTTGCTATCTTACCATTGAATTGGTAAGAAGCCCCATCGTTGGATGTGAAGGGACGAACATTGGGTCATCGTATGACCATGATAGCAATGTTGCGAGATGACTTAGCACTTTTCTTTAGGGACTAAGATCATTTTGAAAGGCAACTTTGATAACGTCATCGAGGGACCATGATCTTGTATTTTTCGATTTGTTTGTGCTAAGACATCCCACATGCATATCATGGCCATTTGTGTAAGGCAACAAGTGAAATTACCCTAAGGGTGCATGTGTGCAAGTGTGTTTAGTTGCATGCATTTGTCTTCGATTTTTGGTGAGCTACTTGTTGATTTTATCTTGTCATACACACCCTAATTACTAACAATATATGAAAGCAATAAAAGTACGAGAAATAAAGATTCTACGCTATTACAATCATTAGGGGATGGGGGTGTACAATATTTCAAATGAGGATTGCAAATTAAATCATATGTTACTATTACAACCATATTGAATGGATAAGAATGTACAGAAAATGTAAAATGCTTATTTATTTAAGAAAAGAAATAAGTTTTTTTGTCTTTTCTGATTAATAAAAAAAATAAAGATGGTGACAAAGATAATAAAGGAGAAAGGAAACAAAATCAACACGAATGCTGAAAATGGAAGAGGTCAGAAGTTCTGACTCTGATTTGCTGCATAACAAAAACAACGTTAGCAAAAATAGGGAAGATCAGAAGTTCTGGATCTTCTGAAAACTCAGAAGTTTCCAGAAGTTCTGATACAACTATCAAAATTTTGCCTCTCTTCATGTCAGTCAGAACATCTGCAGCTTAGTCATTTCTTACAGAACAGAAGTTGCACGCACTTCATCAAATGCAGAGTAAGCCATTGCTTCCCGTGTCTGTGAACTTCAATGACTAAGTTTCCTTCTGACTGATTTCAAACTCAAACATACTATACATAAATAGCCAATCAAATAGCAGTGGATGCTAGCTTTCAAACTTGACTTAATTAATCTTTTATCAAAGCCTAAAATTTTTTTTCAATGAACCAAATTGAATCCCAAGTTTTTTCTCAATGGTGTGAATGAGACTTCACTCACAAAATTAATTTCTATTAAAAACAAAGTTTTTTTTCCAATGAACCAAAGAGAATTCCATGATTTTTCTCAATAACATGAATGAGACTTCCTATTAATTTAAAGAAAAGCCAGTACAACTTACTGAGAAGATTATATTAAGTATTTTACTAAGACAAACACTCACTAATTTGATTATAGATACCTGTTGATCTATCCAATCCCATCACGCCCGCAATATTACTAGTTAGATTAGCGTACAATTTAGCACATACTTAACTATTAAAGAGACAATAAAAGTGAAAAACATCATATAATGTTTCTTGGTTAAAACAACTAATATCTATAGTCATCGTCAAAGATCATGTAGTTTCCATTCCTCCTTGCTCTAGCTTCTCTGTCAGTCTGCACATCAACAATATGTAAGTGCTATGCATAACATGATTAAGGTAAGTATAATTACATTAGCCAATAGATGCTTATCTACCCCTAGGTGATATGTTTGTGTACCTTGGTAATGAGTCTTTCAAATGCTTCAGTTCCGTGTTCTTGCATATATCTCTCTGCAGCAGTAAGAACATCGTCTTGTTTACTAAATATGTTCTTCCGCGGAACATACCACATTTGGGAAGTTCCTGGTATTTGCGGCATTTGTGGCATTTGTGGATTCATGTAGAATGGTCTAAGATAATGTCTATAAACATGTGCTGCTCCATTAAAGTGAGGAAGAACCAACCAACAACTTAGTATCAACTTTGCATAAGGCCAAATTGGAAGCCTGAAATTAGAAATTATAATTTCGACATAACAAAAACAATTGGAAACTAGAAACTATAAAAACTTAATTGTGCGCTAAAAAACTGATACTTTTTTAATAATTCATTTTCCCCGCCAAATAAGACATTCAAATCATGCTAAAGAAAAATCAAATAACAACGAAAAGGGAAGTAGTGTTATGTATAAAAAAAAACCCTAAAGTTCACACTACTAACAAACAAATATTGAACTAACAACAAAATTAAAGTCCTAGGCTAACCATATGATCCTGACACCATGGTTATGTGTTAAGCATGTGATTATGGTATCGCATGGGCTAACAATGTGATCATCATGGCATTGGGGTCATTAGTTAACAATAAAATCACGGCATCACGGGTATGGATAAACCATTAAATAATATCTTTGTAGCAAAAAATTACACATGTGATCATGGGCCAGAGTCATGGATTAACTATTTGATCATGGCATATAAATCATGTGATCATGGCATTGTTGTCATGGCTAAACCATATGATCATGGCATTAGGCTAAGAAGAAAATCATGTGATCATGATATCGCAATCATGGGTTAACTATTAGATCATGACACGAGGTCATGGTGAACTGTTTTACCATGGCATCTAAACCATGCGAACATAGTGATGAAGTTATAGGTTATCCATGTGATCATGGTTTGAAGTCATGAATTAAACATGTGATCAAACATAAGTATCAAGCCATGAGCACATGCTTAATTCGTAACTACAATGATATGATCACATCGTTTATCTATGACCTTAATGTCATGATCACATTATTTACCTATCTCTCTAAAATTATGATCACATGACTTACTCTTGACCCTGAAGCTATAATCTCAGTTTTCCTCTGACTAATGTCATGATAAATGGTGACCCGATGTAATGATCACATGATTAACTCATAACTATAAAGACATGCCTTGTTGCCATGATTACATGGTTTACGGATAAGATGGCATGACAAAATGGTTTACCCAAACACTCGATCTCATGACCACATGTTTTACCCGTGATCATTATTTTTTTATAAGCAAAACCTATGATCTTGTGTTATAAGTGGGAACCACACACACATAAAACATTCAAGATGAGAGGAGAAAGAGTTTGTAAGAACAAAGTAGTGTTTAAACAATAAATTTGCATTTGTTATACATTGAACTGGATAATTAACTAACCCTTAATTATAAGTTATAAGTTATAAGCGCCTCTTATTAACACTAATCACAAACTAGCCAACTTGAATTACATAATAACATTCCTTAATTCAAACACAAGCGACACAACCCCTAACTTCATTCATAATTCTTCAAATTGTTAATTCTTCAAATCTGTCTAACTTCAATTCTTTAGTCATCTTGTCAGATAGTTGATATTCACTAGGCAATGCATCCATTCTAACTTTCCATTGGTTAATTCTTCAAATCTTTCCTACTTCAAATCTTTAGTCAATTGTGTCAGTAAGTTGATTGCAAATATTTGCAATGCATCCATTTTAACTTTCCATTAGTTATTCAACCCATAGAAAATGAAATCTTGTTGTGGAATTGATTCTTACCGTAACTCTTTGTATTAATTTAAAATGTTCTATTATATTTCCTAAAAGAATTTTGTATTCATCTCTAACTTTTTTTATATCCCAGGTGTCACTTCCAAGGAGTATCAACATGTTTTACTAAAATGAAACATTTTCACCTGTAATGAGAACCGTCTTCACTAATTCATTACCAATTTAAGAGTCACTTTTCTAACACGTCTCATGGTTGGTTAGACTTCAAACCCCATCCAAGATTGTCTTGAATACTTCAAAATTTCATAATAGAATTTGTCTTTTAATCTACTTGTAATCGGTTTTTTATTTGATTAAACATTTATTTGATTAAAATAGTACTTATATTTTCATTTTCTTAATTAACATATATTTTTGCTTTATTTCTTTTGTTGAGTGTAATACTAAATTTTTGTGAAAATACATCATCTGTCCATATTTTAATTATACACGTGCCCTTCTACACACTTGTGTAGAAATAAAATTACTATCTGAACGTAAAAAACAAAGTGACTTGAATGCATTGCCATGCATCATCAAACTACATTTTCTGTCAACATCTCTAACATTACTTGGAAATTTTCAACACAGCTGCAGAAACATACAATAAAATAAAACTAATTAAAGATTTAAAAAATAAAAACCAATTTCAAAGACTAGTGGCCACCGTCGGGAGCACTGCCCTATTGATTTCTCATACCGTAAACATAACCTCCCATGTTAGTGCTCACATGTCTAAACAATCATAAACCAGTTTCAAGGACCACGCCATTCTCTTCATTTCAAAAAACCAAGCAAAGCTTAGAAACAACACCACCGCTGGACACCACAGCTCCTCACATTCGGCCACCTTCTCGAAGCGTGTTACCCATTCATGAGCTCCATCCCTTGATAGGTTTTTTTTTCCACTTTCTTGCCGAGCGTAGATCGGACCATCCTCTTTCTTTCTATATGTGTGGTCAAAATCACATTATGATATATTCAATTTTAGGGTTTTTTGTTGGCTCCATTTTTTACTTCACATATATTAACTCATTTAGGTTTTTACTCAAGTTTTTATGCGCACTCATCTAGCCTCTTAGCATCAAAAGTGGAGTTGGTGTGGCCTTTTATTGATGTTTTTTTATGTTTTTTTTTAGCACTTTGGTTCCCAGATAATAGACCCTAGTAATCCAGAGCTCGTGCTGAAAGGTTATGACACTGACTAAGAATTGTTCTCACCAGAAATCGAACTAGCCTTTTTCCATAGGAGTGTTATATGTGTCAATGACTAAACGTTCAGGATCCAAAAAATTTTGACACCTCTTATTGACCCAAAATTTTAAGGGTTGGTTTAGTTCAAATGAGGAGAGGTGAGAGATTTTTTTTTAATTATAAATATGTTTGATTCAAAAGAGTGAATGGGAGAAGAAGAGAGAGATTTTAATTAAAAATATGTTTGGTTCAGAGGGGAAAAATTTTATTAATAATTTACAATTTTTATCTTTATAATCTTATATAAGATATGATATTCAAAAAGTGAAGAATTCATAAATATTTTTTTATAATAACATATGCATAAATAATTGAACACGAAATTTATATTGTTGAGTGATTAAAAAAGTAACAATTTATTATATAATTTAAAAAGAAATTGGGTATTGTACCCAAATAAAATTAAATACACTTCATTCGCAATATAATTTTCTGACACAAATTAAACTATATGTTGATAATAACTTTTAAATCGTGATGAACAATCTAATAAACAAAATACATAAAATAATTTATTATTAAATAACAAAAACACGAAAAAATATTATATATAATTTATATAACTTATATTTAATAACTAAATATTTATATCACTTAATATTATATATAATTTATATTAAATAATAGAAAATACGAAAATAATTTGAAGACGGAGAACAATTATAATAATTGATGGAAGTAGTAGAGAAAAATAACACAAAGAGAATCAGTAACACTAAAAAAATTAATTTTATAATACTAAAATGAAATTGAGGATATTATTGTAAATGTAATAATTTTTTGAATTTTAAAGTTTAGATTCCCTCCCCTCCCTCTAATGTAAATAAGTAGCTGATTTGTCCTCTATATTCTATTAATTAGTTTGTTTCTAGAATAAGGGAAACAAATCAGAAATTGATTTGTTATAATTAAATGTAATTATTTAGTGTAATTACTTGTGTAGCCTTGTAACCTCTGTATATATACAAGAAAGAAGAATGAAAAAGGAGGAAGCCAAAGAATTATTGACATTATATCATTTGGTTTTCGATTTGATTTGGTTGTGTTCTCGTATCGATGTCGACAAGTATTTCTCGGCATATTCTAGTTTTGTTTCACGACTTCTTTTTTGGAACCCTTATCTGTCTTCTTTTTTTGGTTCACGTTGATAAGAAAAAAAGAGTTTGACAATCAAGAAAGGGCGGCAGGAATTCTTCATCTAGGGCATATTCTATTTCTTAGGCAAACACTTTTCCAGCGGTTTATTTTTGTTTGGAATTATTGATTGGTTACAAGTGAGAAAAAACAAAAAAAGAAGCATATGTTAATACTTGCAACGTGCAGTATCTTCCTTTTGCAGCATATTTGTTACTTGCACCATTGCTTCTATGGCTTCCAAAAAAGAAAGAGATCATATTTGTGTTCATTTTACCGGAAAGAATTATCCTGCTTGAGAATTTCAGTTCAAAATGCATGTCAAAGGAAAGAAATTATGGAGTCACTTGAACGGTATCTCTAAGGCACCGACATAAAAAGTTGCTTTAGAAGAGTGGGAATATAAAGATGCTCAGGCTATCACTTGGATTCTCAGTAGTATCGATCCCAAAATAATTAATAATTTACGCTCATTTTCCACTGCTCAACAAATCTGGGACTATTTGAAACATATTTACAATCAGAACAATGCGGCCAAGCGTTTTGAGTCGGAGTTAGAGATAGCTAATTACAAACAAGATACCTTGTCTGTTCAAGAATACTCTTCTGGTTTTTTGAATTTGTGGACAGAACACTCTTCTATTATACATGCTGATGTTCCCAAGACTTCTCTCATGATTGTCTAAGAGGTCTACAACACAAGTGGGCGTGATCAATTTCTCATGAAGCTTCGCCCAGAATTTGAGGTTGTCAGAGGAGCTTTGTTGAATAGGAATCATGTTCCTTCCTTGGATACTTGTGTTGGCGAACTCCTTAGGGAGGAGCATCGTCTCCTTACTCAAGACATTATGTCTCATGATGTTGTCACGTTTGAGCCTGTGACGGTTGCATATGTTGCTCAGAGTAGAGGAAAGGGTTGTGATATGCGACAGGTCCAATGTTTTTCTTGCAAACAATTTAGACATTTTGCTCGCAGCTGCAGTAAGAAGTTTTGCAACTATTGCAAACAGCATTGTCATATCATCTCTGACTGTCTCATGCGTC